AAGAAAAAAGATAGGCAGGTGAATAAGGGGGAAATTTTTTCTGGGCATAATAATCAACATGTGCCAAGGTGCGGAACTGTAAAAAAATTGCTATGACTATTACATGTAGAATGAGATAAGGCTGGACAGTGAGCAGGAGGCAAATTGCATTCATCATAAGCCCTTTTTGTGGTAGAAAAGGATTGGAGATTGGGGGAGCAAATGGATCCTTTGCATTAAATGAGGTGTGGCTAGGAAGACTGACCCATAGGGTTGTATGGGTAAGAAGGAATAGGAAAGATGAGATTTTGCATATGATGGACAGGATAGTGAACCAGAGGTCTCAAGGGTCAGTCCCTTAGTGGATAGGATTCCAGAGTAATGGTGAGAAGATGGTCAGATAACCAGGAATTTATTCGGGAGGCAACGATGCTGATTTGAGAATCGGTCATTTAATATACAGAAGGCTAAGAAGGCTGTCCATAAGATGCAGAGACACTTGATCTTATTTCCTTTACATAAGCTTCCCTCACCGCCAACATTTTGCTAGGAAAAAATTTAAACATATAAGAATTAAAAGAATTGTGAACACTGATATACCCACTACTAAGATTTCACAATTTTTGTTACATTCATTTTTTTGTATAGATGTCCTATCTCATCATCCATCCATCAGTCCATCTTATTTTTTTATGCATTTCAAAGTAAGTTATAGATATTGATAAACTTCACCCCTAAATACTTCATAAGGATCATGAACTGTTAATAGTATTAAATAGTATTAAATATTAGCTTTTGATTCCTTTGTTGGTACAAAATTCATACAGTGGGAAATGCAAACATTTAAAGAATGATAATTTGTTGAATTTTGACAAATGTATACACCTGTGTAATCCAAACTCTAATCCATACATAGAACATTTCATTTCCATAATTCTAGAAAGTTATTCAAGCTCCTTCTCAGTTGATTCTTATTCCCATTCCCTAGAGACACCTATTATGCTGTCTTGCTTTCTGGCTTCTTTCCTTTGCTCATGAGTTTCTCTGTGTACTCATGAGCAAATATAAATTGCTCCTCATATTTATATTTCTAAACATAGAATTTGAAGTTTTTTGAAATGCATTTCAAATGCTGTTTTTCCCACTTGAGTCTCTTCTGATTCTTCTTACCAGATAACATTTCCCTCCTTTGGAAGAAACAATTTCTATTGTAATTCTCTTAGGGCATGTATCATATTCTTTCTTGGACTCTGGTTTTTTTGGTCTGTATTTATCTTATTTCCCTTTCCTTGTTTATAATGTCTTTATGTATCTTTCATCTTTTAGAGTTGTAAAGTAATTGAGCTAGGTGTGGTGGCTTATGTTTGTAATCCCAGCACTTTGGGAGGTCAAGGTAGGAGGATCGCTTGAGTCCAGGAGTTCGAGATCAGCATAGGCAACATGGGAAATCCTGTCTCTACAAAAAAACAATTTTTTAAAATTAGCTAAGCACCTAGGTGACAGAGTAAGACCCTTTCTCAAAAAAAAAAAGTAATTCATTTGATTTGAAGGTACAGCAAAATAAGCAAAAAATTTTACCCACGATAATTAGCAAGCACACATAAATATTTTGTTAACCCTCTTTCAATAAGACATTTGAGAAGTTTGAACTAAAAATGGAAAAGCTGACTTCATTTTCACAGATGGCACACCTGTAATACATGAAAAAACAGGTTTCAATATTATATTCAATTCTGAAGAAGTGTTTCTACCTTCATTCAACAGAGAATCTGTGTTGCAAATTTTGCAGTCAGGTTTATGGAATGATGTAATGGAGGAAATGATTGTAACTCTCAATTTTCTTCCTGATTTTACCATTAACCATCACCAGCTTATTGGAAGATGTTAAACCTAAGCATAGAGACTTAGAGCATTTTAATATGGCCAAGTAACAGGATTGTGGAAACTCTTTGAGACTAACTGAGCTACATCTTAGCTCAAGACCTTAATTTTTTTTTTGAGATGGAGTTTTGCTCTTGTTGCCCAGGCTGGAGTGCAGTCGCATGATCTCAGCTTACTGCAACCTCCACCTTCTGGGTTCAGGCAATTCTCATGCTTCAGCCTTCCAAATAGCTGGGATTACAAGCGCCCACCACCACACCCAGCTAATTTTTGTGTTTTTGGTAGGGACGGGGTTTCACCATGTTGGCCAGGCTGGTCTCGAACCCCTGACCTCAGGTGATCTGCCTTCCTCGGCCTCCCAGAGTGCTGAGATTACAGGTGTGAGTCACTGCACCCAGCCTTTTTTTTTTTCTTTTAACTAAAGGGTTTGTGGTGTAAAGGGCTTATCAAATACTCATGGGTTTACAAGACTGTTTAATGATGTAACAAGATATTTTGAACACATTGAACTAGAAACTGCAATGGGAAAATGTGTTCATTTATTTACTAAGAGAAGGACAGGCCTTTCCACTCAAGTACCACATGTGGGTTGAGCAGATGGAACTTGGAGGTAACACTTATTTCCCATTGTGGAACTACCTGGTATCAACAGAATTGCTGAAGTTTAATATTGATAGAAATTAAGGCACCATTTTAGAAATATCGATTTTGATATATTTAATAATGCCTGAGATTTTCATAGTTTTCTGTAAGTGCAAACCAAAGCATATGACTGAATGCCTAGGAAATATCAAGTCACCAAGGGGTTAGAGCAGTGCTACTGCTGCCACCTGCGAACGCTTATCCATCCATGGTGAGCTGAGCTGAGCTCAGGAATCTAGAGTAAACTTTTAGAAACTTTATGGCAGTTTGACAAAGTATACTTATATCTGTTGAATTTAATAAAAAATAGGGATTACAATATGTATCTTTTATTTCATTTTCCATTATTCATTCAAAGTTATCAATCTGAAATAGGCTAAGGAAAAAAAAACAGGGCTGGTTGTGGTGGCTCATGCTTGTAATCCCAGCACTTTAGGGGGCCAAGGCAGGCAGATACTTGAGGCCAGGAGTTCAAGACTAGCCTAGGTAACATGGTGAAACCCTGTCTCTACAAAAAAATACAAAAATTAGCTGAGTGTGTTGGTGTTTGCCTGTAGTGCCAGCTACTCAGGAGGCTGAGGCACAAGAATCGCTTGAACCCAGGTTGCAGTGAGCTGAGATCGTGCCACTGCACCCAAGCCTGGGTGACAGCAAGACCTTGCCTCAAAACAAGAACAAAAACAAAAAACAAAACAAAACAGGTACCTCCTCTCAAAGAGTTCATTGAGTTAGAATCTTTTAGAAGTGCAAGGTATCTGGAAATGAATAAATATATGAATCTGAAAATCAGAAATTTCAGGCAATGTGGCAATTCTAGGCAGTACTTGAATTTATGTATCTTTTATTTCATTTTCTAATTATTCTTTCAAAGTTATCTATCTGAAATAGGTTGAGGAATTCTAATTCCCAGTGGAGCCAGGTCCACCTGGCTCTATGAAATATATATTTTGTATTATGGCTAAAAAATCAAAATGAAATGTCTATTTTAGCAAAACTAACAAGGGATTGTATTGCACTGCTATAAATTATTTAAGATATACACTGTATACATCTGTGGATTTTGATCATGTGATTCAGTACTGCCAAATTTGGCCAACCTTATTGTAGCATGATGCCTTCTACCCAGAATTCAGATATTTTCTCCTAAGAGTTAGCAAAATCTAGGTGGTTCACTAACTACAGTTGGGATTATTAAAGTAACTTTGAAAGGTAAAGTTTGATAGGTTATTAAATGCCTTATGCCTTATAGCTTCCCCCAGAAGGATATCTACCTTGTTCTGTTTAGACAGACTTTGTCAGTCAGGACTTTCTTTGAGCTTGTACTACAAAGGTACTATTACTAAAGTAGTAAATTTATTCAATCCTTAGTTTGTTGTTGTTTTAATCAGTTGAAATTTTTAGAAAAATAAATGTTTTGTTTTAATTTTAAAGTTTCTAGTAGTTTCTTGATATAAATTCTGTAAGTGATTGCTTATAACTCTCTTCTGATGCTGCAATTACTTAAAGAAATTATCCTGAACATCTACTTTCCAAAGTAGGTGCAATATACTATAGTGTCTTCCTTATAGCACTACATACTTCAATAAATTTTTAAAACGGCCAGTGTAAGAAGAAAGTAAGCAGCCATATGGAAATAATAGCATTGTGTCATATTGTCAACTTTCATGTTCGATTTGGAAAATTGAAATATAATTATGAATAACAAAATAAACACATGTACCATACAACAGTATGCTATGATGTGCTTTTGACACAATGGAAACAATTACTAATAAAATAAGGTGTCTTATGATTTGGAAGAGAGATATTTTCTTGGCAGTGGGTTTTCAGTTTTGCTAATTTGAAAAGTGGCTATGATGGTGGATGAGATCGTTATGGAAAAAATGTATACAATCTTTATGCTTAGAACACATGCATTGCCAAAGTTTCCTCGTGCAGAAGTGAAGCAGGATCCAGATTACAAAATCTATCTCATTCTGGGGTGGGGGGGCAGTAAAAAGTTTTCTTCACTTCTTTAACACTTCTATTGGGCTATTTAAGAAATATACACTGTCAATTTCATTTGGCCCCAAACACTGCTTCTTCTTGACTCTGGCTTTATTTTTATGAAATATATATATATATATATATATATATATATATATATATATATTTTTTTTTTTTTTTTAAATAAGTCTGTAAAACTTAGCAAGTGGTGGTATTATTTTGTGTTCGTTGATGTTTCATTTAAGTGTTATGCTATATTTTTCATGTGTTCTGTTTTCCAACTAAGTATAGTAGCAAAGTGTTTTAAGAATATGCTCCCTTCTGTTTTCTTACTTTTTCCTTCCAGGGATTGTAGCACTGTATTCAGTTTATAGTGAGGGTTCACTGTTGAATGACTAAAAGAGATTTGAAGATCTATGTAATAATAAATTGTTTCAGAATTACAGAATAATATAAGCATGATTTAAAACATTGTATTATGATTATAATACTATATTTTTATGTTTTTGCAGGAAGATTCTCTGGCAACAGATGATTTTCTTGTAGACTACTTCAATGAATTCCTAAGCCTTCCAGTGAGTTTATTATTATGACCTATAGGATATATATTATCAAAGCAAAATATTTTAATCATTTGATTATCTTGTGAGACCAATTTATCAGGGATAATGCTTTTTAAAAAATATTAATGAAAGCATTTAGGTAAATGTTATATCTTTTTATGTAGTTAATCATTTGGATTTGAATCATATTTAGAAATTATTTTTATTGAAGAAAGTTGGAGTTTTTCTAACCATTAAAAAGTATTCTGTACACACTCTGGTTCAGCTGTATTTGGCACCATGTTAGGCTTTTTTTTTTTGAGACTGTGTGTGTTGCTCTGTCACCCATGCTGGAGTGCAATGGTACAATCATGGCTCACTGCAGCCTCTACTTCTCAGACTCAAGCATCCTCCTGCCTACCAAGTAACTGGGACTGCAGGCACATGCCACAATGCCCAGCTGACAGGTTAGACTTTTGACAGAGGTGATAAAGGACAAAGTATCAAAAAAGTCAAAAAACTGATTTCTTCCCTTCAAGCAATTATGTTCATCCTCTTGGACAGATCTTAAAGTGGAATTTGTATATAAGGCAATTAGAGTTTTATATCAATGGTAAATAGGACTCACACACTGTTTTTGGTGTAACATAGATTGATGCCAATTAATAGTTTCAGTTATAGACAGCAGTGACATATATTGTCAGTATTAAGGAATGTCCTAGTCCATATAGTCTATGCTGCTATAACAGAATAACAGATTGGGTAATGTATAAGGAATGGAAATTTGTTCGACTCACAGTTCTGGAAGCTGAAAAGTCCAAGATCAAGGAGCTGCCTCTGGTGAGGGCCTTCCTCCCACATCATGCCATGGTGGAAGGGCAAACAGAGATTAAGAGAACGAGGGAGCAAGAGGGGCGCTGACCTCACTTTATCACAAGCTTTATAACACCGTCTTGATAACCAGCCCACTCTCAAGGTAGCAACATTAATTAATCCATTCAGGAGAGCAGAACCCTCATGGCCTAATCACTTCTTTTAAGGCCCCACCTCCTAACACTGTTGCATTGGGAACTAAGTTTTCAACACGTGAACTTTGGGGGACACATTCAAACCACAGCAAGGAATTGGGAAAAAGTGAAATGAGGAGTCATAAAAAGACCTATCTGGTTGTATGGAAATAAAGTTAATAAGGAATGCTGGTTAAAAAACATATAAGAAAAGGTTTTTGCTATTGTGTTATGAAAACAAGAAAACTTTTTTTCCAGAAAAAAATTGAAATAAAAAAAATCACAAGTAATTTTAAAGGGAGTGTGCCATAAATGTGAAGTCTCTTAAAGCCTAAACACTAGAAATACCTTTTGAAGGGAAGGTACTATTCAGCACTTTCTTATGTAGATTAGTTTTATACATATATATATATATATAACTAATATATATATACACACATATATACATATATATGTATGTATCCATGCATGCATGTTTGTTTTGTGATTTTTTTTTCCCTAAAATAATTTTGTACTGTGTCTGTTGAGCATAGCTACATCTCTGGACCCATTATGGAAGTTAGATTGACACACCAAAGCCCCTGCTCCCTTTCCAAGAACAAGCCTGAGTGACATCACAGGATACTCAGGAAGTTCTTGTTTGGTCTGACTCTTTCGTTGTTCAGTTGTACATTATACAAAACCCAGTAGCATAACAAAATTGCCGGAATTTTGCTCTTCCAGATTATGTAGAACCCCGTGGGCTCTGCAGTCTCCACTCTCCCTCCAAAACAAGTACATTTGTGAAATTTTAAATAGAAAAATCTCTATGTAGGTCTAATGTCAGTTTCTCAGCATTTAAATTTCAGTGTCTTGGGATTTGTGATTACATTGACTTGTTGTGGAAAATAAATAAATTCCCTTACTTTCTTTTAAAATAATCATATTTTAAAATATAGAAATGACATAGCAATAGTATAAACAGTTTACCAAAAATGTGATAATCCCGCCATCCAGTCAGAGTAGACATTGCAATTTTTCTGTTTACTTTCAGACTTCAGGTGATATGACTGTGATTTCTATTGAATTCTATATATGTAATCATGTTTTCATTCCTCCTGAGCAAGACCTGAGGTTTGACCCCTTCATGTGTCCCATGCACTCACCCAGGCTGCCTTTTTCCTGTTTTTCATCTCTCCAGATCCTTCTGTTTTTACCACCTCTTTTTTATTTTTATTTTTTTTGAGTTCCTTTTGCATCTACATTCAGGATCACACAGTCTACTATTAATGACTTGTTCTTCACGTTACAAGATAAAAGAAGAGAAAATGTTGTCATGCATTTTCAAAAAGAATCTGGGGGCAGGAAGGAGAAGGAAAATGGTGTATTCTCACGCCAAGTGTCTGGCAAAATTCTAGAACAGATTAGTAAGGTTTGGAAGCACTTAGCTAAGAATTGGAAGCCAGTATAGGTTTACTGAGAGTAAGTATGCCAAACTAATCTCTCTCTCTCTCTTTTTTTTTGATAGTTGTAGATTGGAATTTTGGAGAACCATAAATTAATATATTATGATTTCCATAAAGTATTCTAAAAATAATAAATCGAATCATGTTACTTCCTGCTCTGTTCAGATCCCTGTCTAGGGACTTCTCATTACACTAAGAATAAAATCCAGAATCCTATATGATTAGGCTCTTGTTATCTCTTGATCTATATTTTTTACTTACTTTCCAATCTGACTGACTTCTTTGTTTCTCAAGCATGCATATGCCAGATATACTCAGGGTCTTTCAACTTGGCATGCTCTTCTCTGAGATATCTGTATCACTTTCTCCCTAACTTAAATTCCTTCTGTTTAGAAAGCCTTCCCTAACAACCCTATCTAAAATAAAAACCTCAACACATGCTCCACTTATAGTGCTTTGTCTCCAAAGACCTTATCATTATCTGTGAAATTAGTTTTCAAATATTTGAACTGGTTCACTAAGCATAACCAGCAGGGGTTGATTTTTAATAACCTACAGATTGAATTCCAAACTTGCTAGTATACAATTCAAGACCTTTTGTAATTTGGCTTCAACTTAATCTTTCTGGCTTTATTTCTTGCTTCACACTACTTTTGCCATCCTGCACACTCTCTCCTGCCTCCCCTAGCCCACCAATCCATCTTGACCATACTTCTTCCCACGCTCAAGTCTCACCATGTAATAGTTGGTAATAGGAGTGAGAGAACTGTATTTGATTCCAGCTCTTCCATTCTTACTGGTGTGATCTTAGAAACCTTGCTTACTTAATTCCTTGATTTATTTCTCTGTGAAGACAATATGACTATCTTACAAGATTATTATGAAATGAGGTAATGTATATTAAGTGCCCAGCACAGGTTTAGTGCTTCTCTTTTCTTTTCCTTCACTAATTAGACCATCTCATCTTCCATTCCTGAAGCATAACAGGCAATCGCTCTTCAATGGGATTGGTGGATTGTCAATCTAGAGGACAGTCTTATGTGCCACACAAATCTGTCATTGGCTTTGCCTTTCTAAAATTATTTTTATCAGAGAGAGAGAGTTGGATGAAAAGTTGCAAGTTCCAGTATTAGGTCACTTGTCTAGTAAAAAATGGTCCACACAGGTTCAAAGGGCTCAAAACTTTTGATTGTCCCATTATGCTATGATGTCTATAGAACTGGCAGCAGAGGAGTAAGCTGATGATTTGGATAAGATAATCTTGTCTTATTTTTATCCTGATAGTATGAAATGGACTAAAACAAACAATGCTAATGTGATTTTAGGGATAGTGTAATCAATAGAAGTGTAGTCAACATCAAGAAAAGTATTAGACTGCAGCACTTTAAAGGCACCCAATAAGTGTTTCTTTGAATAGGGTTGAATTGTCAGACTGCACTTGGAATGTTGTGTTCCTTTTTTTTCCCCTTAGAACCTTGCGATGTCGCCAGGTGCCAGGCTGGAGTGCAGTGACGCGATCTCGGCTCACTGCACAACCTCTGCCTCCTGGGTTCAAGCAATTCTCCTGCCTCAGCCTCCTGAGTAGCTGGGACTACAGGCGCACGCCACCACTCCCAGCTAATTTTTGTATTTTTAGTAGAGACAGGATTTCACCATGTTGGCCAGTTGTGTTCCATTTTTGGTGCCATATGTTAAAAGTTGCTCTGCCAAACCAGACTCAGGGAGACTTAGCCAGTGATCACTTTGGAAACCATGCCAAATGAAAGGTTGAAAGAAGTTTGGTGTTTAACCTGGCTTGGGAATGGGTGGCAGCAGTGGAGTGGAGTAGTCCTTTTCAAATATTTTATGAGTTGATTGAGGAAGAAGGGTTAATATATTTTGTGAAATTAGAGTGCAGAACCAGGGCCAACATTTGTGAAGGAAATTGATTTGATTTTCACTTACCATTAGAAGGAACTTTAGAATTTGTTTTCTAACAATTAAATGGGCTGACTTGTGAAGGAGTAAACTTCATGTGATTTGAGGTATTCAGGTAGAGGTGAGAAAATCATCTTATGAGAATATCGGGGAACAGGTCTTTTCTGTATCTCCCAAAGCTTCTTGATTATAATTCTGTTTTCATGTCAACATCTTCCATGTAAGATACTTAATATAAACAAGTAAACCTTCTAATTTTTTCTGCTGCCTCCTTTCCTCATCCACCCCAACTCTCAGCCCTCATCAAAAACAATAGCCCAAGCCCTAGAGTGTAGATACAGATTATAGGGCCCTTAGGTCATCTCTAAGATGGCTTCTGAGATGTTTCCCATATCTAATGACGTGTGCAAGGTCCCATAACCGAATTGTGGTAGAAATGGCCTAGGAATGAGGTGTTCTGGCTCCTATGCTATTTCTTTCCATTACACCATTATACCCTTGGGACACACTGTAAGATCAGAAACTGGTGGCTGGTAGCCTGCCTCCATGTTATTTTTTGATGAGGGGAATCCGGGATAGTTGCTGCTATTATAAATGATTATGGCACTTTCCAAATCCTAGCTTTCCTAACTTCATTCCGTTTGTTCTTGTGCCAAGTTCACAT